CAATTGAATTAACTTCTCTCCTTCTCACCAGCACATGTCCCATGAGTTTGGCTGTCATTACGGTAGGCAGCCAAAACTGCATGCAGTTTCATTTGCTTTCAGTCTGGCTTTTTGTCCTTAAAAGATGAGGAGGGTAAATTTAGCACGATGTTGTTTAGTCGAAGAAAGCTTTAAGTATTTGAGAAAGACACTGGATATCATCGCATGTCTGCTTCTCCAGCCAAATGATTGCCAACCCTGATTATTCCAGCTTCTCCCAGTGCTTCATCCAACAGTTATGAGCTGCACATTTAATTTTGCAACCTATGTAACTACAGCTCTTTCAATAATATCCGCCATGAACCAGCAAGATATTGACCTTGCAGATCCCCGGTATTGTGATGGCTCCTACTTGGTTTTACCTCTTCTACTCTGTCCACACACCCACCTTTCCACCCCCTACCCCCTACAATTCATTTTTACCCTGGATCCTGAATAATCTCTTAAAAATGTAAACTAGATCTTGTCACACTCTCTTGGTTACTGCCCTCCAAGACTTCCCACTGCATTCAGAGTATACCTGACCCCTCTGGGCCCCTATATCATCCATCCTTGCCCCATGCTGCTCTCTTATCCTGCTTCTCCAGCCCCCTGGCAATCTATGTCTTCCTCAGACACATCAGCCTCATTTCTGCCTTCTAGACTTTGATCTTGCTGTTCTCTCTTCTAGGAACACTCTCTCCACATCTCTCATCACACCTGGCTTCTGGCTTCTTCCCATCTTGTCCTTCTTCATCAGGAAGGTCTTTCTTACCCACCTTACTCCCTCCCCCATTTTCCTTACCACATTACTCTGATTGTTTTCTTCATAAAAGTCACCAGGATTTCAATAAAATAATCTACTTTTTTTTTGCCTCTGTCTCTCCACCAGAATGTAAGTTTGAAATGGGCATCAACGTCTTCTATCTTATTCACCGCTGTATCCTCAGTGTCTAGAACAGTGCCTGATACAGTTCCTGATAGTGTCTAAACCATTGAATGAATGTTATCACTCCAAGTAACATTATTTTAAAAATCACCATTTCATGTTCCAGAACTGGTTTATTTTGAAAATATACAAATCTAGCCGAAACCGGTTTGGCTCAGTGGTAGAGTGTCGGTCTGTGGACTGAAAGGTCCCAGGTTTGATTCTGGTCAGGGGCATGTACATTGGTTGCAGGCACATCCCCGGTAGAGGGTGTGCAAGAGGCAGCTGGTCGATGTTTCTCTCTCATCAACGTTTCTAGCTCTCTATCTCTCTCCCTTCCTCTCTGTAAAAAATCAATAAAATATATTTTAAAAAAAAAAAAAAGATCAGAGAATCTATCGCTCCATGAAATACAATACTAAAAACAAACAAACAAACAAAAAAATCTAACATTAGAAGAAGCTGTATCCCTTTACTACTATCCAGAATATGGCAATCTGCATAAGAAGCATGTCCCAAAATAAAAGAATGTCTTTGGAAACAGAAGAAGGAGGAGTAAGAGGAGGAGGAGGTGGAGGAGGAACTCAGACACACTGGAACACTCTGGGCTGCCTTCTTTTTCATTATAAGTAAGACAAGGTTCATGAGAGTGAGCATCAGCACCAGATTCTTCAGAAGTTGAAAATTAGATCAAATGAATTGGAGGGCAACTACATCTCATATTAATGTTTTCCTCCTCGAAGAAAGAAAATGAGATGATGTGAGCCATGACTCTATTTGAAAATGAAACTTTGTATTTCTATTTGCCTGCACATTAAAGCACACTGTTTTCCATTTTAGACTTTTCATGTTGGTAAATGTTGCAATGCTTTAGATTCTTTAGGCTCAGGCCCATTTACTATGTGCAAGTGAGACAAGCACAGATATGTCATCCCCATAAAGCATCATTTCTAAATTACACAGTAAGTATGTCCTAAGTGAGAAACCCAACTTTCATAACCCTTACAACTACAGTTAAAAAAAAAAAAAAATTATTGCCTGGCCCGGATGGCTCAGTGTTGACCTATGAGCCAGGAGATCACAGTCCAATTCCTGGTCATGTTGTGGGCTTGATCCCCAGTGTGGGGTGTGCAGGCAGCAGCCAATCCATGATTCTCTCATCATTGTTGTTCCTATTTCTGTCTTCCTCTTTCTTCCCCTCTGAAATCAATAAAAAAATATATTTAAAAAAATTTTTTCTTTAACCATCTTAGATCAAAATTCCCTACTTGTAAAAGATGCAACTTCTGAACAATTTATTGTGCTCTTATTCTAACTCATAACAGACAAAAATGGTCTTAAAAGAAAACTGGACTAATCAGATTCTGGCTGTCTTTGGCAAAGTGTGATATGTAAGAAATCTGATCTTGCTAGAAACCTTGGGTTGATTTCTGATGAGCTGATTACTGAAGTCAGCAGCAAAGCCAAAATAAAGTAATGATTCATAGTGAGATGAGCACGTGCATTTAAATTTATAATTGCCCTTGGATATATTTAATTTAGCTTTAAGTCATGAGTCGTAATTGAGATAAATGGTTCCACTAAGCAGGTATCAACGATGACAAGAAACTGGCTGTGATTATTTTGTTGTACTGTTTTCATATGGGAACTTTTTCTACCAACGTTTTTCCAATTATGACTATTAAATTTTATAGGATTACTAGAGGCCCAGTGCATGAAATTCATACACTGGGAAGGGGAGGTGTCCCTCAGCCCAGCCTGCACCCACTTCAAACTGGGACATTTCAGTGGATATCCGACTGCCAGTTTAAACCAGCAGTCAGACATCCCTCTCACAATCCAGAACTGCTGGCTCTCACTGCTCACCTGCCTGTCAACCTGATCACCCCCTAACAATTTCCCTGCTAGCCTGATTGATGCCTAACTGCTCCCCTGCCAGCCCAATCACCCCAACTGCCCTCCCATGCCAGCCCAATCACCCCCAACTGCCCTCCCCTGGTGGCCCAGTAACCCAAACTGCCCTCCCCTGAGGCCTGGTTGCCCCCAACTGCCCTCCCCTGCCAGTCTGGTCTCCCCCAACTGCCCTCCTTTGCTGACCTTATCACCCACAACTGCCCTCTCCTGCTGGCCATCTTGTGCCTACATGGGGGTGACCATCTTTGACCACATGCGGTTGGCTATCTTGTGTGTTGGAGCGATGGTCAATTTACATATTATCTCTTTATTAGACAGGATAATTACCCAAAATTATCTAGACTTAGCAAAGCAAGGTCTAAGAATCTAGGCATTTATGGATCTATAAAATACTGAAAATACAACTACTTGGTCTTTATAGATCCTTTTAATTTGGTACAGCTTACTCATAATTTCCCCACCCCCAATAATTTTTTAAACTACTATGCCTTCTACTTAGAATAGCATTTAAAATGCATGATATTCACATTCTATGCACCAAATCCTTTCTCAAAAAATCAGTTATTCTGAGAAATTAAAGAATCTCAATAGCAAAGATAACCAACATTCAAACCTCTGATTTTTTTGTCTTAATTTTCCCTCTCTCTGATGTATGTTTTAACTCTTCCTCGTGTTCTCCCTGAACATATTTAGTCCAAAATAGTCTGTCTCATCATGGACTCATATAAGATTTTGAGATTATATATATAATTTTTTATTAAGAGAACATCCTAGGAAATTGCTCTAATAAATATTTTAGAATTGCTAACTTAAAATTCACTTCATCATCTTTTCCTTCTCTACTTTTTCTCGTCTCCCCTTTCTTCCCCCAAGGATTCTGTACCCAAAGCAGAATGAGGAGAACAGTGTTGTGTTTGTTGAATAAATCAGAAGAAGATGAAATTCACTTATTCCACAAGGTTTTTTATTTTATATCTTTTTCACTTAATCACCTGATTACACCTCTTATGGCAAGCATGACCAGAGATGTGTGGTATTATCATTATTTTTTATCCTAATGTGCCCAAACTCTCCCAGAGATCTGGCTTGGTGTGGGCCTGTGAGAGGAAACATCTGTACTGTTGGCAAGTCTAAATCTCAAACCAATCCCTATTTAGTGACGAATATTAGTTTTGATAAGCATTAGTTTCCCTTCTCTGACTACACATAAATGCATGCATATACCAAGGTAAGCGTCTTAGCAATTCAAAAGCAATATGCAATGGGCTATAAATGTTGATGCACAACTAACTGTGCTACTTCAACCAAATCACTTAACCTCTCTGAGATTCCATTTCCGCATCTTTGAAAGCAGAGCTCTATGATTTTATTGCCCTCTAAACGAAATGGGCTAAACACCTGAGCATGATAATTCACTTTATCCCAGCATAAAATTAATAGCCCCAAGATTTATTACCCATTGTTTAGTCTTTCCTCGTGTCCTTTCTGGAGGTGTTTCCTTCTGGAATGCTTTGGGGAGCATGCCACACACAACCCAGTTTCTACAAGGTCAGTGCAACCTGTTCATCCCATTTCTAAACGTTTTCTCTTCTTCATTGTATAAATACCCAACCTAAAAGCCACTCCAACTAGTGTGTTACCTCAACGATCTTTGAAACAGAATATTGAATCCTTTAATGTGACGAGAAGTTTAATACAATTCTGGGTTTATCTCAAATAATGCTGTGAAAGTCCTGATCCTATGGAAAGTAGAAACAGGTTCACTGCTATTTTTATTTTATCTAATGAACACAGAGGAAAGGGCTCAGATCTGAGAGAGAAAAGGTCAAAACCTAGAATCATAGAGGGCTATTTGCTGCAAAGTTTATATAATGCAGTTTGGTTAAAGACACTGAAGCAGGGGTGTCAAATTGATGTAAGATATTTAAACCTATTACAGTCTTTCCTACAGAGAGTGGTGAGTTGTCACTGGGTTCTTAATGGTGTTGCACACATTAGCACAGGAAATTACAAGCAGGTAGAGATATACATAATTGCATGCCTACTAGCTAAACCATGGCACAGAAAGTTATTGGTGTTATATGACATTGACTGCTAAGACCCACAAGATCATGCTGGCCACAAACACTGGTCCTGGGCATCAGATCCCCAGATACTGGTTCATTTTGTTCAAGGCGTCACACACGGTGTTCAGATCGCTGCGGAGATCCTGCACCACGTTCTCAATACTTCGGGTGTCTTTCAGAATCTCCACGCTCCTTGTGTAGGGATTGAAGTAGACTGAGAAGGGACGGGTAATTGACTTTGCAAAATCCCTGCAAAACAAACAGACAGGGAAGGATATGCGATTGGCCCTCATTGGTAGAAGAGATAGCTGGAGGACAGAAACAGAAACAGGAAGAAAAAAAAAACTTTTTTATTTTCTCTGTATAGAAGAAAAACAAGCTTACCTCATCTTTTCTTTGGCTTCTTCAAAACTCTCAGAAACAAAGTAGGCCTCCTGGAAGGTGGTGATAAGGCACTCCTGTAGGCACGTTGTCTTCGGGTCAAAGGCTTTCACACGAGCCTTGTCAGAAAGAGCGTGCTGCAAAACACACCAGGAGGCCAGTGAAACTCCACAGCGGGGCCTCCAACGGGCCAGGATGGCACGTGTCCGCCACCCAGCTCCATCACTCTACAGGACTGCCCAGTGACCAGCCCTCCTGGAACCTGGAACTCTCCCCTGTGTGGGCCCCAACTGAGTGTCAGGGGGGTTTGTGGTTGTCAGTGTTGTTGATTTTAAGTCTGTTCTGTGCCGAAGGGGAGAAACGAGAGGATGGTGTTATTTCATTTATTATCAGCCAAATACATACGGCAAAAAAACGGTTCAGAGCTGTACCCTAACAGAAATGGAATTTCAGATCTATGAATAGAAGCAGGGATGGCATAAATACGGTCCTAAATTTACTGCTCTGAGCAATGTGCTGAAATTTCACTTAAATGGCAGAAGTAATAATTACCTGCATGGAGCGGTAACACGGGCTCTGAACAAACTATTTGTGGACTCATTGAGAGACACTTTGAGGCCAGGTATCAACAGAGTCTACAGCGGGCCTGCCAATTTGAGGAAATTTACAAAGCATTCATTACCTTCCACCTGGTACAGCGGAGTAATACACAGCAGATAAATATTTCCAGGTGGGAACAAAAGAGCTGATATTAATAGTTATAGGTATGCCCAGAGCAGGCATTAGGAAAACAGGAGAGCCAGGGCAATTACTCTCCGAGCCTTCATTAGCTCCATTCAGCTCACCACATGGCTGGCCGAGGAACAGCAGGGAACAACAATGCAGGACTGGATTCTCCAGATAAGTTCAGTGATGCTAAAAGTTCATGGTCATTTCCTGGCATGTGCCACTTGCCTGTTTATAGACCCTGCATCGACGGTTCTCGCACAGATGGGCCTAGAATCACTGAGGAGCTCGTGAAAATGCAGATGCCCAGGGCTCGGTTCTGTCTGGTAGGTGTGGGTGAACCCCAGAAATCTGCATTTTAAAGGCGTCCCAGAGGACTCCCACATAAGTGGCTGCGAAGTACATTCTGATAAATACTCCACTAGATTCTGTCTCTTCATTCCCAGGGTAAGTCAGTTGGGAGAGAAAGACAAAGGCAAGCAGTAACTGCCTTGAACTGGGAGTTGGGCAACTTGGGCCCCAGTGCAGGTGTTGCTGTTATCTGAGCGGTGACCTTGGCAAATCACCTCACCTCCCTGGGCCTCGGTTTCCTCAGCTGCAAAGAGAGGCTTGGGCCATGTGACTCCCAGTCCAGCCTCTGGATTCCACCCAAAGCACTTTCCACCTTCTCAGTCTCTCCCTGCTGTGGTTTCCGAGAGAAATGCTGAGAAACCTTTCCTGTTCAGTGTTCTTGGTGCATTTTCCCCCAACAATGTCAGAACACGTGGGATGATTTGCGGCCTGAAGAGGGCTGCGGTTCCCTAAGTTTGGAAATATGATTGTGAACCAAAGGACTGACGCACAAGAGAAAGGGCACGTGGCCCTCCGCTGTGGTCTGCTTTCTGGCGAGTCCGGGGCTATGCACGTGTGGATCAGGGGATGCGGAGGACATCTCGAAGCGAACTCATTTTCTTGGCCCACAAACAGCTTCCTCATAAGCAGAAGGTCACTGAACCTGCAAATGCATGTGTGCCAGGTTCGGTGCGGCACAGTGACTATCAGGGGATTGGGGTTCCCCGTGACTAATAATTCTGTCCACATTTTTTAAACAACTTCAGCTCCGGGAAACAAAATGTCCTCTGATGAGAGCTGTCGCTCCTCTGCAAAGAGCAGGCCTCCTGTTAGCGCGGCACCGGTTTCAGGACGAGAAGTTGCTTTCTTTGCAGCCATGTCTGGGAGCATTTTACTGCAGTACGTTGCTCTTCTTAGCCCATCCACCCATCCGTGCATGCGAAAGGAAGGGATGTGGCTGACACAGGGTCGTTCCTTGCTCTTTCTCTCAGCCCCACATTCAGGAGCACAAGCAGAGTCAGGGCAGAGCAGCCTATAAGAACAGGTAAGCCACGGCTCCCCTGGAGTATCCCTGCTGAGCCAAGGACGTCTCTTTGGGTCTAGGACAGTGGTCAGCAAACCATGGCTCGAGAGCCACATGTGGCTCTTTGGCCCCTTGAGTGTGGCTCTTCCACGAAATACCATGACCTGGGCGAGTCTGTTTTGAAAAAGTGGTGTTAGAAGGAGTTTAAGTTTAAAAAATTTGTCTCCAAAGGGATTTCAATCGTTGTACTGTTGATATTTGACTCTGTTGACTAGTGAGCTTGCCCACCACTGGGCTAGGATGAACACAAAAAGGGGGTGAAACTCATCTACGAGGATCTGCAATACTTTGATAAGACATTAACAACCATAACAGTCCCTAGTGCAAAGAATGCCTCCAGGAAGTGTGTAGGCAATAATAGAGACTGGAATCAGAGTAGTTTTAGAGAAATGTATCATGGGACGACTTCACTGGATACGCAGATGAGCTTGTTTAACCATTTTCACTGGTTAAAGAGGATGAGGGGACACCAAGGAAAATTTCAGAGGCGCAGGATACTCTGCCCCAGAATTCAAGGAAAGTCAGTGGACTCACAGCATATAATTTGGGGAAAGCCCACTAGACAATACGGATCATGATTGCCTCGTGTACTATTCAAAGCAACACTGGAAACTGATTGTTCTCTGACCTCAAAAACGCAGCTCCATTCTCAGGAGCCTGTGGTGTCCAATACACGGGTTACCTGCTGAGGACCTCTATCTGTGGAGAATGGGACCAGTGCTGCCTGGGCAATTATGAACATGGGGATGATAGTGGCACCCAAGGATCAGCCTGGAGAAGGACAAGAGCCTAGAATTGGAGCAGCGGTCAGTGATAGGGGACCACAAATGAAGCTGTGATACACCTATAAACAGTCTCCTTTACCTGATAGGAGCTCCCTGTGTGCTGCCTGCCAGGAATATCCATGCAGCCCATAAGGACCTCTGTTCTGAATAACTAGAGTGTCAAGTATCCATGTCTCACTGCTTCCCAAGCCCACTCCCCACTGGAATGCGATCCTACAGAGTTTGCTCTTCAGCCCCTATCCATATCCCTCTCTAAGCTGCCGGGAAAACAGCTCTCATCCCCTCTCCTCTGTGCCCAGTGGATTCTCTGTACACATCCAGCCAGACTGCTGCATGTCCCCAGGGAACTCTGTGGTGAATCCTTCCCGAAGTGCTCTCCAGGAATGTTAAAGTCTGCGGAATTAATCCAGCTTTCTCTAGAGAGGGGCCTGGTAATGCTGACAGGGGCTGGTTGACCATCCTTTATTCTCAAGCCATTTTAAAAGCCCAGGAAAGCTTGAGAATCACCTCCCCTCTTCTAACAGGACTCTCCTGGATTTACCCATGATGCTAAAGACTAGGGCCTAGGACTGGGAGCCAGGAGACCTGGCTCTAAACAGAACTGTCCCAGAAGCATGGGATCATGTGGATGAAAAATGCCCAGGTTGGGGCATAATTTCCTCTTTGAACAACTCCATGAATTCTAAAGCTCTTCTTGCAATGCAATCTGAACAGGGCGTGCATCCCTACCTCCAACCCCTCCCTCCACCTCCGCCAGCATGAACTGCCCAAGCAGCCTCTCCCCCGGAGCGTGGGCATGGCCTTCCCACCTTTCCCAGCAGAGAGGGCCATTACCTTTGAATTGGCTTTCATGTACAAATTCAACTTATTTGCCATCCCAGCCTTTTCAATGGAAACATCTCTTTTCCACATCAGAAATTTCCTAGAATCCAGTTGTTACCTAAAGTTCCTACATGACTTTGGACAATTTATCCCACCTCGGTGAGCCTATTTCAGAAAGCATCTGAAAATGGGAATACTGAACTAATAGTAACTGCAACCCAGGGTTGTGGTAAGAATTAAACAAGGTAATGCATGCAAAATACCTGGCACATAGGAAATGCTCGATATATTTGTTTATCATCGCTGAGCGAGTCTCCAGATGAGGTTTGGTGTGTGTGTATTCAGCCACGGCTGCCACCACTGGGGCAGCCTCGCTCCCCTAGGGCTCTGGACCCATACAGGTGAAAGACACATACAGGTGAGACCATGGCCCCAGTTAGGAGGCTGCCAGGCCCTGCCCAGCGGCAGTGCTTGCCCTGAGTTCCTCCCTCCAAGCCACCTGCCTTTGGAATGGTACAGAGTTATTATCCCTACTATTCCTGATGTAAACCCTGTGATCCTCACCCTCTATATTAGGACTGGTTAAAGCTGAGAAAACACAGTGTGAAGTCGGGATTACAGATAGGCATTGGCCTTAGATTCTGAATAAAATAAATTTGTAAATGCCTTTACACTCATACCACAATCATCTTTTCCCACATCAGAATAACAAACATATACATTTGTATATGCACATATGTACGTATACTGCATTTTTTTAACTTCCCTCAAATGCTCCTCCTGCTAACCAAGCACAACTTGGCACTGACACCCTTACTGCCAAAGTTGGGGATGATGGCATCACACTTCTTTTTTTGTGTCGCTGATGTTGTAAGTTTCATCAGTTTTAATAAGCTACAGGGGTGAGGAAATCAACTCTCTCTTCAAGCAATCCTCTCATAAAGGCCGAAGCTCAGATTCCAGCTTCCAGTGCTCTGGCATTTCCTCTGTCATTATTATTAAGAGTGCTGGGAAAGGGAAAGAGAAGGAAGGAGGAAGAAGATGGGAGGTGTGAGCCAGCTGAGCAGGGTACAGGTGTGGGAGCTCAGAAGCAGTGAGTCCTAACTCCAGCCCCATCTCTCATCACTATTACACCAGATGACCTCAGTGAACCTTCTTCTCTGAAACCTGGCAGTCATCCCAACCACATCACAGAGTCGCTGTACATGGTAGTAAATACAAATAACTGTAATAAATAGGAACCTGTTCTGTGAATGCTGATTAACAGCTATAAAAAGAGCAAAAAAGAAAAAAAAGAGAGAGAGAGAGAGAGAATGAGAGAGAATGGACATGGGTTCTGGCTGGTGTGGCTCAGTGGTTGAGCATCAACCTATGAACCAGGAGGTCACCA